CACCTCATTACGATATTGAGTATGATGAAGCGTTGGCTATTGAAATATGTAAAGGGTTACGTCCTGAAATTGCTAAATGCACCCCTGAATGCTATACTAAATTAGCAAATCAATGTATGGATGCTATTCCTTCTAATAGACCATCTGCATCCGATATCTATAATAAATTGTGTAGATGGTATGAAATGGTAGTTAATGGTGCAGCAAAAGATAAAAATGAATTAGAAATATTAAAAGCGTTTCAATCAGCAAATGCAATTATTCCAACGTTATCAACCGACTTGCCAATTTGTCCCAAAGATAAACTTACTAGTAAACTTCTTAACTTTAAAAATCTTTCTGAGCCAATTAATTCATTATCAGTAGAATTGCTAAAAACTCATGGTAAATAAAATATTTGTTATATTAGATTTTTATTGATAAAAATTTTAATTCCTTTTAATTTTTAGTTTCTAGAAAATTGGATTTTTCAATTAGCGATAACATTATTTAACGTATGTATCTAATAAGTTAATCTATTAATGATATGAATATTTTATTTAACTATTTAAATACTTTGTTTTTATAGCCGATAAGGAAATAAAATAATAATTTACATTAAATTTGATATATTTATTGAAAGACACAAGTTTGATATGAAACTTAAGGTCGAAATAAAGCTTAGCTATTTAGGTTACTGAATTACTATTAAAATTGTAAGAGCTATCTGGGTACATTTTCATTTTATCTGACGCAAACTTTAATGTACGTACAACATATATACAATGACTTAGAATATTTGATGTTGGCATCTCAGTGACTATAATTTTGACTATTTCAAATTGAGAAAATTAACTTTATATGTGCATTATGAAATTTTTGTTTATATTGATCAAAAAAAAAGGAGCAATATTGTATCTCAAAGTTAAAAACCAAAATTTAATTCACATCTGAGTACATCTGAGTTATCTTTTCTAGAGGTGATAATAAAATTTTTATTTTAAGCTCAATTTACAGTTAAATAAATTTTCAGTCAAAGTTCTTATTTGTTTTGACTAGTATTTTACTTCATGAAAGATTTTGCATAGACCAATAAAAAAGAAGGAATAGCATATAGTATACAGATATGTATTAAAAAATTTGAGTCGGTTATACTAGTTTATATACAATTTTATGGATACGTGTTATTTCACCGACAATCACTTCACAGACAACTTAGTTCACCGACAATCAATTCACAGACAAGTTCA